CCCCCCCCCCCCCCCCCCCCCGCATGCACGAGACCCGATGACTAACCGGCCGGAAGGAGGCACGCGTGCATGGACGGCAGTGCTGAACTGGGGCGACAGCTCGCGTGCCCGCAGAGAGGCCATTGCGTGCCACCTGTGGGTCTATAGCATTCCTTGTAATAGAAATGAGCAACACTGATTTTCTCACTGAAACCAGCCGTATTTTTTTTAACTATTTGTGGCATGCTGCTAAGAGTCTGCCATTCTGCATCATCCTATCTTTGGTCTATAGATTAGTAACCTCCTTTTTAAAGGAAGAACGGTGCTGTATTTCTGAAACGAATGAAGCAGCTTTGATTCCCCCCCCCCTCTTTTTTTTCTTTTCCCCTACAGGGGAGAAATATAGCTAAATTAACATTTTCCCACTGTTGCGAGACGTGTGTGTTTTGATGACAGGTCTGTGGCTTCTCTCTTCCGTTCAATCTCTTTGAGGCATTGTCGCCGGGAAGCAACGCCAGGAAAAATAATAATAAAAGTTTTAACTCAAACGGAAGGTTAAATGCTAGGTTCCACACCAAGAACAAGCTAGCTCCAGATAAGTGCAGCCTAGATGATTTCTGGTTTTAAAATCGGAACGATTGCGGTTCCATGGATATTATGTTGAGAAAGCAAGAATCTAAATTCTGTAACAGTCCCCATTCCTCTGATGCTAACACAGACTAATAGGAAGTTGTCGCATCCCACGTACGGAGAGGAGAAGTATGAAAAATATTACTAACTATACCCTCTGATGCTCAATTTGTGTAGACTAATGCATGGCATGCGCCTTCAGAAATGAAACCATCTTCATTAATTTGATTCTCTGCTCTTTGTGGAGTTTAGGATATCAATATTGCACAATCCATCTCCTCTCGTCTAATAAAACGGGCAGCAGGATGATGGGAAAAAGAACCAAAAATACATCATCGGGTGCAACTATTGCTACTCGAGAATGACAGGTCATTTTTCCTGCCGCAGGACTATCAACTCTGAATTCACAGCTTCGTTGTTCAACCCAAGCTGCCTGGTGGGGGAAGAAAAACCGGGCAGGTTGCAGAGAGGCTGCATTAAACAGCATCTTCTCAAGCCACAAAAATATGGTCTTTGACTATGGGGTGGGGGTGGGGAATCCTAATCAAGAAAACGTCACCTTTTAGGGCAGGGGTCCCCAACCCCCAGGGCTGTGACCTGGTACTCGGCCATGGGTCCGTTGGGAATTGGACTGTGCAAGAGGCAACGAAACTCCATTTGTGCAAGCAGTGGGCGTGCGCCTTGGTCCGTGAAGCTCCATTTGTGCAAGTGCACCCATTGTATGGTGGGAAACCACCCACTCTTCGCCCACCTACCCCCACTGGTCTGCAGAGACAGAAAGGATGGGGACCCCTGTTTCACAGCATACAGATTTAACCCAGAGGTCAGATGCCATGCATTAACAGAGGGATTCAATCAAGGGAGGTGCTAATACCACTCTATAAAGAGCAGAAGCAGCCTGCAGTACTCCACTCCAACCACTGCGCCACCATAATGCCTCACTTAACAACAGAAACGTTGGGCTCTCCTGTGGCCGTAAGCCAAGGACTACCTGTAACCGTCACTGATGTCTCTTCCAGCCCATTTTACACAGCCGCTTTCTGACAGGCTTAATTTCCTTATCAACAGGAATGTACTTACGATCGGAAGAATATTCCATTTGGGACGATGGAGCAGCTGTCCCTTCGCCCGCCTGAGCTGCACTGGCGTTTTCGGCTTGAGCTTTGCGAACAAGGGCTGCCAATGGGTGATCGGGATCCACCACCTTCAGTGGCTACAAGAGGCAAAGACAAGGGACATCACGGGGGCTGAACTCCCTCACCCTGACTGCCCAACGTCAAACGATCATCTCTGTGACTCAGAAAAGCTTCACAAATTCTTCAATCCCATTGGCTAGGACGACTCAAACAGCTTGCTGGAGATCACCGTCATCATTTAACGACTCCATAATCCCTTGTGGGGGTGGAGTCTGGGCAACTGAATGGAGCTGAGCATTTACTGGCCAGATGCCCTTCTTGTCGCCAATGCGGAGTTTTGTTCAGCAGATATATCCTCATTGTGTCCAGAGAGAGAAATATCTTCCTCTACCTAGGATCGAACTCACAGCCTCCTGATTGTGAGGTGAGAGCTCCACCTCTAGTCCAACCCACCACTCCAAACGGCTTGCTGGAGATAGGATTTATTAATTATTTATCTGCGAACTGAACCAGGAAGAGGCCATTTTCTTGGTTCATCATTGCCCTACAGTTACAGGAAGGGGGAGGAAACTTGGAATGCCTTACTAAACACAAGATAAATCTTGCTTGTAGGAACCAAGGTCATCTCCCAGGTCATGGAGGAAGGAGAAGAGTGCCTGACGAGTTTGCCAATTAACCTAATTGGCCAATGTGACCAATGACACTTGGGGGAAGGGATTATTGCTTGTTTTAACTATACTGAACCTGTGGGAATGATTGAGAGTTGGTTTTACACAAAGCGTGTCGATATGATGTACCCAATAAAGAAGTTCTTTGAGGAAGCAAGTGGCCTCGTAGTTCTGATTTGCCTCATTAGTCGGGACCTTGACAACCTAAGTATAATCTTTATTGTCATTGTACTTAAATACAACGAAATTGGTTGTATCTGATTTATATCTCGCCTTATTTTTGTAAACCTTTATCAGGCTTGGAGAGTGGCCAGGCCGATATCTTTCAGATGCCGCAATACTTGGCAAGAATGCAGGAATGAACTAATTGTCTCCTGCAANGTCGTAGGGAGGTAATTGGCAATTTTAATCCCATTTTTAAAATTGGCATTTGTAATATTTACTAATGTAGATGATTATTCTTTTCCAACCTTGCAAATGGCATTTTTTTCTGGGTGTCCTCAATACATCTGGCCACAAGCTCTAGGATAGGTCTCCTGCGTGAGCAGGGGGTTGGACTACATGACCTCCAAGGTCCCTTCCAACTCTGCTTAGGTTACTGTTTGCAGAATAAAGTTGTTTAAGGACTGCAGCTTGATTTGTGAGGGTTGTCATCCTACAGGCACATTTACTTGGCAATGAACAGACTAATGTTGTCAGCTGTCACCTTATGCTTTTAAGATGCAGCAGATCCGACAGATGTTCACTGCTGAGAAAACCACAAACTGGATCAGTAAAGGAATATATTGCGAAACAGTTTTTTTCTGTACTTCAATCCCCTTTTTTTGGTAGGATTGGGCCAAGGGGATACCCCAAATTGGTAAATTTTAAAATCTTTAATTATCCTGATGGGGGATTGCTATTCTCTTGGGGGGAGGGGGGTTACAGTGTTTCACTATTCATGCCCCCAAACTTTTCATAAACTGGAGAAGACAATATAAAGAACTCTTAAAAATGATGTTCCCTTCATCCCAACACAGAGATGGGGGAGAAACGGGGCTCTAATTCAGGAAACAGCAGTGTTTACAGCCCCCCCACCACTTGGTGTCCTCCAGATGTGGGAGCCTTTGACTCCCAGAATTCCTAGCCAATTACAGCAATACAATTCTTTGTTTCCAGGAGCCACCCGACGTCATTCTCTACCATCCCTCCCTTGCAGCTGACATGTAATGGCTGCTCCTGAATCTGGAGGCTCCATTCTAGGAAATACAAGTAAGCAGCCTCCTCCTCCTCTTCTTCTTTCCCACTCTACCGCCCCTTGAACCCCACCCTACTTACCCGCAGGGTCCCTAAAAGCTCCCCCGGTGTCCCAAGCTCGCCGCAGCCTTCAGCTGCCACGGCGACAGAAGAAACAACAGCAGCAGCAGCAGCCTCTGCCCCGCCCACGCGGCTTATCCCATGCGCTCGTGGGGGGAAGGGGGGGGGAGCGCCGGCTTCGCTTGGCATTCTGGGAAGCGTAGTTCGGTGGGAAGAATCCAAAGTTTAGGAAGTGGAGGGGGGAGGGGTCTCAAGCAAGGCACGAGGCAGATGATGCCGGAGAAGGAGTTTCGATCTATGACCGCAAAGATCCTATGCAGGACTCACTTGCTTGTTTATTTATTCAGTATCTACCGCCTCCCATCTCAGCCAAGTGACTCTGGGGTGGTTAGCAGTTATAGTAAGAATAACACAGTTGGAAGGGACCTTGGAAGTCTTCTAGTCCAACCCCCTATATCTTTTTAGGTAGACTGAGAGCATCTGCACCAAAGACAAATTCCTTGTGTGTCCAATCACACTTGGCCAATAAATAATTCTTTCTATCTACCTATCTATCTATCTATCTATCTATCTATCTATCTATCTATCTATCTATCTATCTATCTATCTATCTATC